TTAAGTATAACTTCACTTCTTTTTGGTATAAAATTAAAAATAACAATTTTTAAATTGTCAACCTAAAATCGTTAAGTATTTTTTAAAAATTTTTAAGTAAATAATTTTACGGGTTAGCACTCGAAATCATCTAATTTTGCAATAATTTGTATTATATTTACAATACACAAATTTATTAAATTGCATAATTCTAACAAAATTTTAAGATGAAATTCTAATATTTGAAAACCATTTTCAGAGAAGAAGATATTACTTACAATAAAGCATTAGATTCCATTGCACGCAAAATAGAAGTGGCTAACTTACTAGCACGTCAAGTAATATCTCTTTGGTACGATTATTTGTCATGGCCAATAGAAGGTTTTACAACATACTTTGCAGCGCATATCTTGGGAAAGGTTGTTTAATATTCTTATATATTAATGACATATTACAAATTAATATTTCATAACAAAAAGAACCAAAAATTTAGTAGCAGCCATTACCAACTCTTAATTCATATTTATAATGCAAATATACTGTGCATTTAAATATTTGTTTTAGCTTAGTAAATTTTTTAGATTCCGTCGATTTTTTACATACATGATTTATTTGTTGTCCAAGTACTGCAGGAATCTTTTCGCTTTGACATTCCTTCTTATAATTATAATTTTACACTACACAACAGTAATAGCTTAGATGTTAAAAAAAATAAGTCCATTCTTAATTATATCAAACGTAAGTTAAAATAGAATTTATTTGTTTAAAACTTTATATATATTATTGTTATGATTAAAAAACATTTTAAAGTATGTTTTAAGTACTCTATGACTTTAATTGTCACAGCATCCGTTTTATGGTATATATTACAACATATTTTAAGTGAAGGCATGTGGTATTCTATTCGCACGTATGCTGATAGGTGAGTAATATTTCACGATATAATAATTATGTAACAAAATTGAATATTCGACAAAAATATTAACATTCCTCAATTTTACTGTGAGACAGCATGGTATATGATATATTACCATTTCAAAGTTGTCGAAATATCTTTCATCTATAAAATAACAAATAACATGTTGTCCATTTCTAAAACTAATGTATACTTTTCTTTAATGTGAATGAGATAGTATTGATTGTTTTAAAATATTAAATCAAACTTTTTTAAACTTGTCAAATTATCTTTTTTTTAAATTGTAAGTAACATATAGTTGATTTTGCAAATTAAAACATTATGTTTATTAATGTAAATAATACAATTGATTTTTAAAATTGTGGCAAATTAATGTTAATCGTTTTGAAAACTTATATTAAAAACAGTAGATAAATAAAAACCATTATATTGTATGTAATTTAAATTCGGAGTTTTTTAATATAATTAGAAGTTTGAGATTACAAAGACATAACTGTAAATTATAATGTTAAAATTAATAACTATATAAGCCCAGAGTTATATAAGTATTACTTGCTCAGTAAAGTTTATTTAAAAGAATCGGTTACAACAGATGTTTAGGCCCATTTGTCGTGGCCATCTTCAGTGAGAGATACAAAGTAGACGAAAATTTAGAAAAACATAATAAAAGTACGTAAAAGACGCAAGGTTGTCGGAGGGCGGTTACAAAAACCAAACAGTTTCAAAAAGTTGTACATACTCTTATTTTAGTGTCGAAGTTATAAAAATTGTCCTGACAGTGCGCAAAGGTCCAAAAAGGTAGACCTCCAGAAAAGTGTTACTTATCTGTTAACTACCTACCGAGACACACACGAAATTGTCTAGTTGTCTGAGAGTGTTCACCTTTTTAATATCTAACCTCAGAATTTTTCTTACTAGACTTCTGACAATGAGACCTTTGTACAATTGACAGAGTTAGTGCATCGAAAGTATCCGTCCATTTTCTATTTTCACATAATTCCGGAAAAAAAGAATAAAAGATGTTGGATTGCCGATGGGTCACAATGTTGCGGTACACCGGATTGCCTTTCTAATTTGTTCAACCGTTGATTCTTTCCGGAGGTCTACCCTTTTGAACCTTTGCGCACCGTCAGGGCAATTTTTATTACTTCGACACTCAAGTAAGAGTATGTACAACTTTTTAAAACTGTTTGATTTTTGTAACCGCCCTCCGACAACCTTGCGTCTTTTCCGTACTTTTATTATGCTTTTCTAAATTTTCGTTTACTTTGTATCTCTCACTGAGGATGGCCACAACAAATGGGCCAAAACGTCCGTAACCGATTCTTTTAAATACACTTTACTGAGCAAGTAATACCTGACTCTGGGCTTATATAGCTATTAATTTTAACATTATAATTATATCATTAAAATATCCCAATTATACATTTCTTCTATTAATAATAATATTGTAAATATAAACAAATAAGATATTTCGATAAATTGTGATTTTTGTCTACAACTTCTTTGTGAGCAAATTTAATCCATTCTAAATATAAGACTAGATAAAGAAAGACTTTCCAAATACAAAAAAAATAAATAAATGTATTACTGTTGATTTACTTGTACAAACATATAAACTAATGTTTTAATATGTTAAATTATAATTTTGTGTATAAAAGTGAAAATTTGCACGGTGTATGTTTTTAACGAAATTTCTATTTTACAGATATAGTCAGTCAAACGCGGTAAAGACCGATGATTTATGGCACATAATGCAAACTTATTCAAATCATACTGAGACTTATCATCAAAAATCTTTCAATGTAAAAAAATATATAGATATTTGGATAAAGAAAAATTATTATCCTGTACTGCACGTGACATTAAGCGCTACAGATGACATGATATCATTTTCATATCTCAGTTCTCAGTATATCGAGGAAGACATGGAACAAATTCCCGTATTAGTAACATTTACGATAATACAAAAAGATGTTGGTAATAGTTTTAACCAGCATTTTTTGCTATCACCGCAACGTAAAACATTTATGAATATTAAAAATGAATTTAAGGTTGTTGATGAAAATTATTGCGTCATAGTCAATGTTAAACAAATAGGTAACTATACAATATTAAATTTATTATACCTCAATTTTTATTTTGTGTAACTAAAATTATGCAATATTCTGATTTTGTCGTTTCCATTTTATGTTATTGAGATTAATTTTGGATTTTATTACATGATTATGTGTGTAGAGGATGTCCCACCTAACTTAAGCATTTTAAATAGCTCACTTGTTTTTCATAATACGAAAAAACGTTAGAAATGTCATCAGTTTTTTTCTGACGGTTTTTCGTATTATATAATCATTATATGTATAGAAAGATTTGATATCTCAGCTATTACAATGCAGTCATAAAACATGTAATCCCGTTTAAAATAATCGATTACTTTATAACCTTAAAAAATATAACTGTGAAAAAAGTTGTTTTTTTATAATAATATTTGTTTCTCCCAAACAAATAATGTTTTTCTTTGACATATTTTCATATTATCAAAAACAAGTAAGAAATTTAAAATGTCTAAATTAGATGGAAAACTCCGTATGTACATATAGTCACTGCTCTTGTGATTGTGAAATTTTTACGGTGCATTTTAAATCTTCAAGATTAATGAAGTCATAATTAAAAATTATAACATTATTAATGATTTACAAGAAATCATACATATTTAAAACAAAGTGTTTTCGAATTTATACTATTAAGTAAACGTAAAGTTCGAGCACAAAGATCCTACTCTTGGTACTGGTTTTAGCTTTAATAACACAAAACCACAAAAAAAATTTTTGGGTATAAACTCAAACTAAAGTAATTGTTTCTTATAGATTTTTAATCACTGAATCAAAAATCTCCGAATTTGTGATCCGTTTTGCTTCATCACGTTAAGTTTTTTAGATAATTGAGAAAAATGATGAAAAATCTGTGAAAATTGAAAGAAACATTTGAGGAAAGAACAAAAGTAAATATAACATTAAAATGCGAACTGATTTAAATATATTTTGGTAAGTTAAATAAGGTGCAAGAAATAAAAAGTTTTACTTTAATGTTAGGTATTATAGTCTAACACGTCGTAAAACAAGTCGATGTAAAGTATCATTGTGCAACAAACAGCTAGGCGATCTGCGTGAGTTATACTAGGTTTTTTTAGAAATAAATTTTAATTGTTACTTTTGGAAGATAAGTGAGGCACAGAGTTGAACACGAAGCGAATCAGTACAAATTAAAAAAAAATATATTTGTTGCACAAAGGTACTTTACGTCGTTTTGTTTTACGACATGTTAAGCTATAATACCTAACATTAGAAAAGCAAAATTTTTTTTATTTCTTGCACCTTATTTAGTTCGCCAAAATAAATTTAAATCAGTTCTGCGACCGCATTTTAATGTAATATTTACTTTTGCTCTTTCCTCAAATGTTTCTTTCAATTTTCAAAGATTTTTTATCATCTTTCTCAATTATCTAAAAAACTAAACGTGATGAAGCAAAACGGTTCACGAATTCGGATTCAGTGACCAAAAATCTATAAGAAACAATTACTCTGGTTTGAATTCATATCCAAAAATTTTTTTTGTAGTCCTGTGTAATTAATTGTAAATTTTGTATCAATAAAAAGAACCTATAATTGGATATTATTATTATAACTTATATTTAACATATTTTATTAAAAAATAAATAATTTTAAAAAATATTTTGAAAAAAACACTGTTAGAAACTATTTCTTGATAAATTCTATCAGAGACTCTATAGATAAAAGAATCTATTTTTGATATAATAGGATACTATCGAGTTAATTATAATTATGAGGGCTGGTTTAGACTTGAGCAATGCTTGAGAAAAAATTATACAGTACATGTTCTCAATCAAGCCCAAGTCATAGATGATGCATTTCACTTTCTCTTACATCGCCGAATCAGTTTAATAAGGTTTTGGAATATTGTAAGCTTTCTGTCAGAAAATACGAATTACGTAGCATGGTATCCCATGATTAAAGCTTTTGAATACATGGCTTGTGCCTATTCATTTGATCATGCTTCACGCATAACGGTAGGTAATGGCTAATTTCTATAAGAAAAGTTATACATTACAACATTCTACATAAAAAGAATTAAATAAATATGTATACCTGTACATATACACATACATCACATTCTTTCTAATAGTAGATTTATAAATTCAAATAATTTACCAATTTTAAGGACAATATGCGAAATATATTGAACAGAGTTTTGGAAATAATAGGATACGATGAAAAACCGAATGAAAGCGACCTTACTAAATGTTTAAGAGAAGAAGCAGCAAAATGGGCATGTATTATTGGTGCTGCTAAATGCAGAGAAAATGCCACTTTACATCTGATAAAATACCTTAAAAATCCTGTACAAGACAAGTAAGATGTTTTAAAACCACGACATTTGTATAAATTAATCTTGTTGCATTAATATACTAAACTTGAGAAGCTATTTTATTTGATATACATAACATAAGCTACATTTGTATAAAATATTTTATTTCTGCTAACGCAGTCGGTTTACATGGAAGGAATGGAAATATTGTAAAGGTTTAATGTTAGCAAACTACACCCTTTGGAACCAAATACGAGAAAAAAGGACAACATCTGATAACAGAATATTAGATTACTTAACTTGCTGTAAAAATTCTACAATTATTATCTTGTATTTAAAACAATCGTTAGGACTAACTACAGAGTATAAATATTTTATCCAAAAACGAGACAAACGTGTTAATATAGTTGTTCTTACTGTCGCGAAGCATGTAAGAGACTTGATAGTGTTTGAATTCATATTGAAATGTTTAAAAGACAGGCAAATCGTATTAAGTAAATATTGGTAATAATATTTTTCTTTTTATATATATTCTTGTATTTCTAAGTATGAGATATGCATATTAAATCCATTACTTTAATTTTAGGGAAGTTGATAGAATTGCAATATTAATTATCAGTATTACGCATGTGCATTCCGAACACCAATTACAAGAGGTACCTATATTTTTTAATTCAAGTAATACTTTCATTTCTTGACTTTTCAATATTGAGCTTATTCATATGTTATTTGTTACATATGTAACATATCTGATCCAATTATGCCGAACGCAGCAAATTATGTTCTCATAAACTGTATAGTAAAGAAGCTTTACATTTATTGATTTTGTCGAAATAATTTGTTTAGGTAATTACCTTTGCGACAACTTATCTGAAAGACAAGAGGCTAATTGATGCTGTTAAAAATAAAATTGCTAAACGAAAATTGGAGAACGCAAGACAAATAGCAAATTTTGGATCTCTTCATAAATATGACGACGACTGAACTCTCACAACAAAGTAGAAAAAGTCTGTATTCAATCTCCCCGTAATTTGCATGCAACTATGATTTTGTGGCTGTTGTACTAGCCAGTATTGGGCCAACACTGGATGCCAATGCATTGACATTTAATATTAATGAAACGTTATTATTATCCCGACTGGCAAACTTTGCATCGCCAACAATGATATATTAGTTAGAACTATTATACATTATATTAGTTAGTTAGACAGTACTAATTCTTTACTGTTGTCCAGTATCACGCCAGTATTGCAAATCCAGCTATCAGCCTTGAGCAAATACTGTGCTTGTTGTAAGCTTGAAAATGGAAATAAATAGTCAAACAAGTGAATTTGTAAAAGACAAAGTATATAGCAATGTATATAGTATATAAGCACAGTTATAGCAATGTTGAAATAGAATTAATAAGAAAATAAAAATTATTAACTTTCTCAAAGAACAATTTCATGCGCACACAACAAAATGTACATTCACAAATGAAATCATAGAGTAGAATTTAGTTAAATATTAATCCCATTTTTATTATGTTTAAGTGATGTAAGGTTGCAATATTGATAAATGTAGATAAATAAAGTAAAAAGATAAGTATAAAATTGATGCATTGTAGACATTAAAAGTAATTAATATTTATAAATCACAAGTATACTTTTTTATAAAATAAATTAGTTGGAATATGTTATTGCAAAAAATAATATTTTTTATTCTTTTATTTATATTTGTGACGTATTCATTTTCAAAAATTCTACAATGATTGCTTTTCTTATTTTTCTTTTATCTTTCTTTTTTTGCTATTTTATATTTGCTATTTTAATATTATGTTTAATTTGAAGTACTGCATAGAGAAATATATTTTTTTTATTTGTTTTTGGTAGGTATTTAGTAAAAAAGTAATGAAATCTTTACCAAAATTTTTTTCAGTAATTTTGAAATGGTAAGTGTTTAATCGTGATTAATCAGATTGTCATAAATTCATTCATTACGTCGTATATGTTACTGTTAGTCTGGGACTTTTGTATATCTAATATTTTGCATATTTTACATTATTTTGAAATCTATTTTCTTAAATGATATTAAAATAAAACAAGTATGTGAATAAAACACAATCGATTGAGCCTGTTTTCAAATTGATCGGCGTTATTGGCCGGTAATCTTGACTCTACTCAGCTCGCGGACTCGCATGTAGATACACTTTTTTGCACGTTACGCGTGAACTTGACGATCGTGTCCTGATAATTACTGATGTGTTCGTAAAAGTTGCAACGCTAAAAACGAGTCAACTGCGACGATATTTATTGAAAGATTTAAAGAAAGTGACAATATATCGCGAACCGCCTGCTTTGACTTAAAAATTCGGAAGAGTATATGTTTCCACCAGCGCATTCTCGATATCAGTGAAAGTCACTCGTTATAAACGTACAACAAATGTTATCGGCGCGAATCCTTTCGATGTTAAAGAAACAATGTAACGGCTCTCCATTTATGTCGTTTGTAATTTTGTTTTCGAGTATATATTTTTATCTTTTAGAGTGATAATTTTATCATTTGCGATGCTTCAAACGTTGATCGTAAACATCGATTTATAAATGTTGCAAGTCTTTTCACTTTCAATACTATAAAGTCAGTTAAAGTGGAATTTTTCGACAATAAAACGCTTAATCATTCCTATCAAGTTATCAATATAAAACATTCCTGCGAGCTATAAAACGATTAAAAATGGCCATGACTTTCCAATAATGACAGTACAAATTATTTGCTAACATTGATTATTGTCTATATAAAATTTTATATGGCGTATCTAACAATGAAATATACAAGCTAAGGCAAAGTGCTATCTTATCATAGTAATTATACGCTATATCATTTTATAAAAGCGCGTAATTTGGATTACATGTATACAGGCTGTTTCATAATGTTCGTCCAAATGCTCGTGCACAGGTAGAGCGCGGTAAACTGAACAGGAAAGTCCTTTATCGTTTTGCAATTGTCGCAATAATAAATGAAATATTAATTTAAAAGGATTGCAATTGCCGCGCGCAACGCACTATCATTCGTCAATCCTTTTTAATTAATATCTCAATTATTATTGCGACAATTGTAAAAGAATTTTTTGGACATTATGAAACATCCTTATACACAAAGAAATCAAACTATAATATTATCACTCAGGTAATAAATTATTTATTACTCACTCGATTGTTAGATTATCCAGTTCTACAGAAACATTAGATAGGCTATCGGATGGCTGACTGATACCAGGTGCAGACCAGTGCAACATCTTTACGTTCTTTCTGGAAGATTAAACATCATCATTAACAATGTCTAGAAGTTTTCCATTTAGCTAAAAGAAAGGAAGAGAGAAAAAATATCAGGGCGCGAGTGCCATGATATTTTTTCTCTCTTCCTTTCTTTCTAATAATTCCTATCAGTACATACTGATTCTCCATATGTGAGAACAATGTACTAAAATTTTCGTACACTTTAAGTATCTCGAACCAGAGATCGGTGTACAAAGTTAACTGTCTCACGTAGACTAATAAATTAATTTCTTTAAGAAAAATTAAAATTTCGCACTAACATCCCGCGACGGCTCTCAATGCCTTTCCATTACATTATTTGATAGTTATCATTTGAGCCTTTCCTTTATATGTGTTAGATTATTAGTTATATTTAACATTTTATTTAATGCTTAATAGAAATTGTTACGGTGATTAATAAAAATTTAAATCGTTTCTGCATGAAATCTTTATTTCAAGCTTCTGTTAATGAAAATAATGAATTACGCCAACGTTTCATTATTTTCACAACGCCCATAAGCTTGCCGGACAATTCACAAAATGCCATTTCCTCTTCACTAATTTTAGCTCTTACGTAACACAAGTCCACTACCAAACGAGTTTAATTGGTACTTATATTGTTCTTTAAGAGGATAAACTCGTGACACTATAAAATAAACATCCTTCTTTATTCACAATAATTAATTACGAAAATTTTCAAAGTCTTTCTGATCTCGAAATGTAAAATATATATAAAATATAAATTATACATTTAATTATTTTACTATAGAATTCTGCTGAAAGGAATAATATGCATTATTACATAAACAATAGAAACATATTCTTTATATATAAATTTAACGTTAGTTTGACGAAAATTAACTTTGCATTTAATAATTATATAAGCAGCAACTTTGCATTTTAAAAAATAGCAAAATTGAAATAACAAATATTATTTAATTCAACGCCAATAATAATATGTTGCCTTTTCTTGTATGTTGCTTATTGTCTTCTTACCACACCAGTTTTTAATTAAATCTATATTTTTACACAAAATATAATATTTTATATAGACAACATCGTTGATAAATATGCAAAAGTTACATATAGATATATATATATATATATATATATATATATATATATTTATTTATTATTTATTCATTTATTTATTTTATTTAAAAAATTATGACAATCTCCTGTGAACTATTAAAACAGCGATATCATTGATCAATAACTAACAGTCTACTTGATAAAACACAACCTTGAGTTTTCTGGAACAGATATGCCACTCCCATCGTCGACAATTAATTAAAGTGCTCTATAATTTACTGTGACTTTCACGAGTTCGTCATAGCAATACATAGAATCTATAAATGACTGCTTTAGTAATATGTCTAACAGCGATAATCTGCTGTGTATTGATATTCCTCTTTAGCTGGCTATTTTAAGATAACGAGAATGCGTAATTAATTTAAAACAATAAGAATAAAATATTACAATTTTTAAGTACTAAATCTATTTTTATATAACTTCAAATAAACATTAATTAACCATTAAAATGTCCACGTTAAATATTCAAAAATATAAAAAATTTTTTTTCTAAAGCTTCTATTAAATTTTATTTCCTTCTTAATTTGCTTATTAGATGTCACAAATTTAGCAACAAAGAATAACAAATATTATCACTTTCTTCTTTGGTAAACTAATCTTTCGTCATATGGAGATTATTATTTTGATTTAATAAAATGTAACATACTATATGTGCTACTTATTTTATTGATATCGCTATTTTCACAACGCGGAAATCGATTACAATTAAAATATTTCTCCCAAATTATAATGTAACTTTTTCTTACTTCTCGTTACTTTTGGAGAACGACATCGTTGATATTCATTAAGATAGACGGCTTTCCTGACAGTGCGTGAATTAACTAACGCACTAAAACTCAACACTGTCACTGTCATATATTACTACATGAACACCACTTTACTCTTCAAACATTTATATAGCACTGGCACAAGCCGATAAGGCGTTTCAGCCCGATAGCAGCCTTTTGTATTTCGTTCGCATGCAATTTGTCGTAATTACGCTAAAGCTAATAAATACCAATTTAATTGAATGCTCGAAATCCAAAAAATAGACAAGGCTACAATTTTTACTGAGTAAATTATTTGATACTTGGTCTTTAAAAGTTAAATGATTAACATTTAACTTTTAAATATTTATCTCTTTGACCATAATTCTAGAGTACCGTGTGAATATCACTGTTGAATAAAAAATATTAAATATTCGCGTTCTTATAAGGTGCACACACACACACTTACTTAGTATCGAGCGAATGAATTAAGAGTGAGGATGCGGAATTATGCATGCGTAACGAACTAGGCACTGCACTTTAAGTATGTTACGAAGGAAGTGAAATGTAGAACGTGGTGTTTAAATAGTTGACACCACTTCTACAGCAGCATGAAGAGCGTTGATCAAAAATGTTTTCTTGTACGGTTTACAAACGTAAATTTATCAGACTGCTTGTTAAAAATATTAATATCTGCAAGCGCGTAAACATACATTTCAATTATCATCGACAGATATCTTGCGCTTCCAAGCAAATTATGATAACGATAACGAAACACGTCAAGGTTTTATCCCGAATTAAATTCTAAATTGTAGGAAAAGTAGTATACAAAGAAATAGTATTTCGTATTTACATTTCTCTCTCTCTCTCTCTCTCTCTCTTAATGTTTTAAAAATTCTTCTAAACTAATTATAAAGTTTAAAAGTTATTCCTGCTAATTATAAATTGTTGTAAATCTTCTATATATTAATAAGAACAATTGTTTTAATTTGAGCTACACGTGTATGCATTTTCAACATAAAGATGTATATAACATATACTTACTGTTGAATAATGAAATATAAAATAAATTAAAAATTATTTAAACAATTTTAACCAAAATGTACTTTTAATTATTTATAAACTTTTAATTATTTTTAAAGTAAATTTTAGTTTGCATCTCAATTTTCTTCCAATTATTTTTATAAAATTAGATAAGACAAATATAAGTATCTTTCTGAGAATTGTACCAAGAGATGTCATTTATAATAAAACAATGTTCTATTAAAATATAAAATTTAAATGCGTTTTTATAAGTCTATTAAATAAAATGTTGTTTATATTTTATAAATAATAATTACCTCATTTTCACAAGCGAGATTTAAGTTCAAGGATCTTCCTGCCAGATGGAACTAGCGATCAGGTTATCGCAGCAGTTTGCGCTTTACTGGAATTGACGATACAATATCAGCAGAAAAAAATAAGTTTTGCAATTAAAAAATAAAATATAGAAAAAGAATAATTAATTTCTACATTGTCTATATGTACACTTTTGAGAAAAAATAATTTTTTTATTTAAAGATGTTTTATGTTTCCTACAAACATAATTTATGGATTTTTCAAAGAACTTGAAATTAATTTTTCAGTAGCAAAAATTAAATCCTTTTAATATTTCATATTATATTACATATTTGATGTTATATATTTGAATCTCCAAAATAAAATTTTCTTAGGGCCACTTTTTTCAATGTCGATTAATGTTAACCGACGATTTCAATTTGTTAATAAATTTGCTAACATGAATAAAATATGGTCATAAAAAAAAAGATTTAAAATTTTTGTCACCTTTAATGAAGATATTTTATTCTTCATGTTAGCAATTCTGTATGTTTTCCAGCAAAGGACACAAGTTGACATAAATCGACACAAGTATCACTCTGTCTTTGTTCGATATTCAATGAGCAACAGAGAAAATAATACTTTTGTGTCGCTTGTGTCTCTTGGTGGAAAACTACCTCTATTAACAAATTGAAATCGTCGGTTAACGTCAACCAACGTTGGAAAAAATGACCTTTAAAGTTATACAAATAAGATGTTATTATTGATTTGCACCACTAAAGATAATTAAAAACAATTTCTGATCTTAACTTATATTTCAGATTTTTGTAATAAAACTAAATTTACATTATACAACAAATTGCTTACCGAATATTATAGTTAGTTAGATATGATGTGGCTCCGAGGGGCGCCCCTCTTACGGCCATATGAGTCGGTACGCGCTTGCGCGATAAAAAAAGCGGTATTTTAGAGCGGTAAGACGTAATATGATAATGTAATCTTTTGTTTTGAAATAACCTAATTTATATGGTTTATATGGTTCACTGATCACTATTATAATTTGTATGGTATTGATTATTATATGTAATGTGTAAGTGTGTTAGTGTATTTGTGTGTGTATGACCGCAGTGTGTGAGCTAAAGTCTGTAAGTTTGCTAAGCCCAAATGGCTGTGCGATTCAGCCATCCTACGCGCGTACGGAATATTATAGAACGCTCCAGCGTGTACAGCCTGAGATTACAGACTTTACTGAGATAGGAAACTTTGTCTTTAATACTGTTTCAACAGCGCCAACGTTAGTTCAAGCTGTATTTTCTATTGGTTGCTCGTCCGCTCTGACAGGATACGAGAATACGTATCATTATAATATTATATTATTGACTTATTGTGTTGGTCAGACTGATGAGACTGGGTGAGACGTGAGACTATAACCTCTTATTTTAACGAAAGACACGCACGAAGCACGTGTAAAATGGCTAAATCGTTACGCAGTAAATGGAGAAGAAAATGCAGAGCGGTCAAGAGAGAACGTTATGCGGCAAAGGAATTACAAAGACTAAAAAAGACTCTGGGTATCGATGACAGTGTATCCAAAGACGTGGAAATGTCAGATATCACTGAAATTGCCACAGGTAAGATTTTATATATTTGCATTGTGACATATTAAAAATACCATAGAATGTAAGATAATTTAAAATAAATTTTTATATTGTTTTACATTTATTTCTTGATAGTTGTTGACGCAAAGAAAGTAAAAGAAGATGTTAAGGCTAAGCAGGCTGTAAACACAAATGAAGAACAGATGGAAGTAGAAGGTGCTAGAGTGTATAGTAGAAAAACATTGCGTGATCAGTATGGTAATTATCCCGTGTGGATGAGCCAAAAAAAGATTAAGCACAAGAAAGGCAGAGCAAAATCACAAAAAGCCAAAAGTGGAAAAACAAATAAAAGACTCACACGACGACAAAAGAAAACAATGAAACGGAAAGAATAAAATCTTGCTTCATAAATTTCAAAATTAATTATTCCATTACTTATCCATTTTGTAAGTATTATGAAGATTACTGGTTATCTTTTTATAAATAAAATTTGATAAAAAGAAATAGTGACCATGTTACATTTACTTTAATGCATTGTTTGGCATTTTCATTTCTTTAAATTAGTATAACAGGATGCACAATACAAAATGCAGAATCTACCTCGTTTTATTATAAAGTTGAATACAAATAATTATATATATTTAAATTATACTACTATTCTCTTAGACTATATAAGGTATAATAAATGCTAAATGGCAGTGTTAATTCACGACAAAAATAATTCTGCGTGAATCTTATGGCAAAAACTACATCAGCATCGTGGAGTTAAAATAATGCAATTCTATGGTTTGAAAATAGATATGCTTTGCTTCTCCAAATGTATAGTATTTTTTTCTATATGCACATACCTCTGATTCTAAAGTACCAATAATCATCTCCACGATAATCCGATAAAACAAAAAATTTGTAGTAAAAATAATATTATTACTATCTTCTGCTAAGTAAAAGAACAGTAGTAGTAACACTACCACTCACTACTAGTACTGAGTAAAATAGTAGCCAATATTGCCACTATCCATTATCGAGTAGTACTGATAATATGAGTCTTCTCGCTTGCGCATGATACGCCAGCAATGCTAAAAGGTCAGCGATCCACTATTTATTGATAACGCTGATCTACAACGTATTCTCAGACGATTTTCTAGTTCCGCGATGCGATTCATGAGATGTTGTATCTTCCTCATCTCCGCCTCATAGTGTTTCATCTTGCTTCTCATATCATAAACTTCCCGTTGCATTAATTGCTGGAACACAAATCGCAATTCTGTAATTCATAAACTATGTAAATATATTTTACGAATACTCGCTTCGATCTGATATTCGATTTGATACAGCATAGTTCATAGAAGTAAAAGAAATAAGTTAAAACTGTATCGTTAAATTTTGTTCATTTTTTATGATATAAGAATTAAGAAATAAGAAATCCTTTATTTCTATTAGATAAACCATTAACAGATTAATCAGTGGTAAAAATTCTAATACCAAAATGTCAAGATTATACTTTTTTTTTATATTTATCAAAAACTGTTCAAAGTATACCCATCGTTACTCACAATTAGAATAATAAAAAAATTTCAGAAATTGCGAAGATAAGAAAATATATACATTTTTGCGCATTTATATATGCACTAAACAAGGCTGCAATTAAAATACGCGAAATTTCTGACATACACTATATGTCTGAACTTTAATATATAATATTTTAACATTAAGATTTAATGTTTGTTAAATACCACGTTCTCGACAGTTCTTTTCATCTCGTTGACGCTCTCGACCGCTAATGTGACTTTGGTGTGCATCTCGAAAGCTTCCGTCTCTCTCTTCTTGTTTTTAGCTACTTGCTGAAAAATTGTTGAAATAATGTGTTTTCTCATCAACTACATATATGTACATACTTTGCGTTTCCTTTGCCTTACTTTTTCTAGTTTAATCAGTCTCTTTAAGATGACTTCGTAGTCTTGATCATCGTCGCTCACTTCGTTTTCTGTATCTGTAATTGAATAATATTATGTCCATTATTTATTTACTAATTTTTTTTCTTTTAATGTTTGGTTGTAATTTGTATGCTGTATTTATCATGTTTTAAAGTAAAATAGTTGAAACATAGACGTACGTTCTCGCTTGCAATTTCAAAATCCGAAATGTGATTTATAGAATTGAATATTTTCTTAAAAAATGAGTAGAATCTGTGTATTTTTTTTTTTTTTTAATTAAACATATTAAGTTTTAAGATTGAATTATAGCATTGTGCACACCATGAGAAGTCGTTGGATCCTTTGTCGTCGATACGTCGTGAAAATCACTCTCCAAATCACGGGCTTCAAAAGCGTTCTCGTCAGTGTCTGTGCAAAAACAAACCTACTCTTAGAGCTATTCTCCGAAAAATTCTATTTTAAGTATTCAATTTCGCAAACTCACCATTCCTCCTACAGGATTGACCATCCTGCTGAAGTTGAAACCCGGTTCTACAGTGACATCGATAGCTGCCAGGTAGGTTTGTGCAAAGTTGCCCGCATGGCTTTTCTATCGCGCACTCGTCCACGTCTGCGGAATAAAATAATAAATATCTTTCACCAAGTATCGAACATTATTCCTTTTTACATCAAAAAATTTCATGAAAAGATTATGGAATAAAAAAGCTAGAGAATAATTACAGAATTATTTAACAGCACAGATAAAGGTGAGAAGTTTTAGTATAATAATTTAGTAGATTCATATTAATTAAATTTTATTACACTGCCCAACTTTTAAAATATTAAATATTAAAAATTGTTACACTTTTTGTGTGCTTGTTATACAAACTTTCCATTCTTTTGAATTTTTTTCACATTTTTTTTCGTTTTTTCCTATGAAGAATCATAGTTCGGCTAAATTATTAAATATGACATTACAATTAGATACAATCGGCTGAAACAAGATAGGTATAAACGTCGCCTCGTTAAAGTGCGAAGAACATTCGATCGATTCTTCAGTTACGAGTGCCTTCTCGTGCCTGGTATCGTCAGACATAATTAAATCGACGCGCAGCGATACACTTCTCGATAGCATTACGCGAGCGCCGAGCTAACTGCAGCAATCCGTATTGCGGTGTCCTGCATGTCCTGCATCGGTCGGTTGCAACCAGACCGCGCGCTATCGATAGATTTACGAGCAATTCCATCACGTTACACGGTTCTAATCATTGCTCTTCATGTAAATTATGCGAGCGCAATTATTGTGATAACTCCGAGAAAAAATCCAATATTTACTTTAAGTATCAAGGTGAATGCTTCGATTTATCTTTGTTCTTATTTAACGAATTCTCCTTTAACAAGCATACTTTATTATACTTTACTTATCGCTTAAATAAATTAAATTTTTTAACTAATAAAAGTTCATAAATGTCAGAGTGTTTTGTTAAAATAATGCTATTGATTATAGTTGAATGCGAATCATTCAGATACGATAATATATAAAGACATTTCGCGAGTAAAATGCATAAATTGTATAATTATCTTGCACCGAATAGTAATAACAAACGCTATGCAGCTTGGATGTTCATAATCCTAATTTGTGAGTGAAATTGCAATTACCTGTCTGGCACTGTGAGCCAGTGTATCCCTTGAGACACGTGCATTTGCCAGGCGATGTGCAAATTCCACCATTCAAACATGGTGCTGGACACGTGGCTGGAGAACAATTATGAGATTAGTGGACTCGTGAATTATGAATAATTCTCAACTGTTTAAAGCAAAAGAAAATGTGTAGATAAAATGCCGAGTGTCATTGAGATGCAATATTTTGTATTGTTCATTAATAATTTAAAATCGTATATTTGTGGTCAACTTTTACGTAAATTATATTTATATTTGTTGCAAAATATACAAAATAATGTGCAAATCTTTGTACTCTTTTTGATAATGAATGTATATCGAATAATTGGAGACTTGTTATCGAATCTACTTACGTCTGTTACAACCAAAACTCAGGTGAGTAACTTGCGACCATCCCGGACAGCAAAAGAAATTGGAGCTCAACTCAGTGTACACTAATCTGAAATATTTAATATATTTATATTCTATAATCGCTTATACGAAATTTATAAAATATGATTGTTGCACGCTACGCGGGGAAAATTATTTTTATTTATAAATCTAGAATAATATCCTTACATAATTTAGCATAACACAAAATAAATTTATTAATCTATTTGTTTAGATAAAAGTCCACGCACTTGCAAAATTACAATATACCTAATTTGTCCTCGATGATGATGAGAAGTTGCGGGAGCTTGCCTAGTGCATACTCGTCTCCTAAAATGCAAAATATTAATTTTTAATTCAAAAGAAAGAAAAGAAAGATAAAAGCATCTTTTGCTCATTAATTTTTTGACAAACTTTTGGGGCCAAGTGACCTTAAGTTGTAATTATTATATATAAACTCAGCTTTGTAATTGTTTCATTACATAAATTTGGAATAATTATTCCAAATTATGTTAATGATTTCCATAGATAGTTTAAATTCTTTAAAAAAATTTTTATATTCTATGACAGTTTTGTTAAATTATTATGCTGTAAATTTCTTTCTTTAAGAAAAATGTCAGATATCTATAATTCTAATATATATGCTTTCTATTTATATAAAATCGGTTATATTATGCAGAACCTTTGAATAAAATAAAAACTGAATAATATATTACGTATGCATAATATTTTAAATCATAATCGTAGTATTTGAAAGTAAACCGTATGCATAAATGACATCATTGTAGAGATGTTATCGGTAAGAATCCTTCATGAATTCTTGAGTAATCCTTTCTTCGGATCGCGCATCTCGATTTTAGCTTTGCATTTCTTTATCGCAGCTTAGGGACATTAAATCGGCGAATCGATTATTTCGATAGTCATCGTAAACGGTGTCCCGTGTTACATCCCTCCGTTCCAAAGCCGAACTGATCGCTAAAGCGCAATCATTTGAATCGTAAATATCGCAGAAGACCGGTTAAATCGTAAAATACGAAGGCTGATCAAATATGCAGTCGAAATAAGTGTTTGCGTTGACGACGATATTGCAGCTTATTGCACGAGCCGGCTTCGGAATTAAGTTTACATGACAGAAGTCGAAATTTTGCATTTTTGATTAAGAATAACCGGAGCAACTTGGGAAGTGAAATAAATAATTTCATTCTACAACCCGAAGGCACGATTAAATTGCGAAAATGTCGCCAAATTATTTAGCGGAAGTATTATGGAATGCGACGGCGTGCAAGGCTCTCAACGATTCATGATTCATAATGGAAATGTATGGCGATCGCATATATAATTGGGCGCTGCGATAAATGTTTGTCCGACAGAACCACTTCGTCATCGTCAGGCCATAGAAAATTGCATTTCGCCGTGTCGCTGTCGTGTTTGCTGAAATGCAACACGACATTTACTGTCGCAACAACGAATACCAAGGACGCGGTGGTCTCTGTCCACATTCGTTTCTTGCTCCGGCGGTAGCAAGAGGCGCGAGGAACGCGATCTATCGCCGGGTCTACTATGAGTGACTGCACAAAGGACTCATATGCGCAAATTCGCCGTCATTAAATATTACCTGGCATTCTGCACAGTTCTCGACCCGTTTTCTCATCGCGCATTCTCAACGCTGAATACACTATCGATTTGCAGCCTTTGTTAGCATCGCATTTATACAACATATTCTTTCAATAAAATTTAGAATCTCACGATCTCATTTCCTAAACGTAAAATAAATATACGCACTGTTAACAATTCGCGTGTACATTTGTTAAAAAATTTTTTTAACATATTAAATATTTTATAAAGCTTATTTTTAGAATGAAACAAATTATCATGCATATAAAGATTAATCTGTAAATCAACTGCGGATACAAAGTTGAAAAGTTAAATTATACAAAGTGTAGGAATTGTTTTTTAGTATTTAATCTTTAACGCGTTTGTTGAATTTAGTAATTTATAAACAAGTTAAAAATAAACATGAAAAAATAAATATAAACGGAAGTCTGAGAAAATTTTACGGTTCCCGGATACCAGAGACGGAAACTTCGAGCTCTTCAAACATTCGCCATTAATAGCAGGTGTTCCGGTGAAGCTGAAGGCTACACAGAACACGTTGAGAATCAGTAAGAGCGTGCCGTGAGGATAAACCGTTGGTTTATCCATGAGAGAGAAAGGACCAGAGGGATTAGCGCAGCGGGTGATCACGTATCGCAAATGTTCTGATCATCTCAGCAACTCTTATAGTGCCATCACTTTCACTATCGCATAAGCTCGTTCAGCAAACTTGCATTGTGAACAGATATGTTCTTGACATAATTTCTGAGACGTTTATTATTTCGTAAACATTTCTTTCTTTAGTAATTTATTATTTCTTTACTAAGAAAAAAATGAACAAGTGAATAAACTCATTACATTCTTATTACAAGAATAATAATAAACGAACAAGGTTTATAACATTGTTATTTTTTTTTTTAAATTGTACACGTATGAATGTTCGCATGTTGAAATAATCCACGTGCCGAGAAGATCTTTTCAATGTTGCAACATTGCGATAAAATCAGAGCGCGCCGCATGGAAGCCAGGAAACCATCGCTTATTATTAGTTATCATATAATCTACTACGTCCACTTGCCTCTTTCTATGATAACTAGGCTACTTTAATCTTATTCATAATGATTTCCTCGAGCTTTCTCCAGCGAATGGACGCGTAAACCGCCGTGTTCTTTATTCGCAAAAAAAGTCTCGTGAAATGCGTTGTGCGACGAGGGTTCAGATACGGATCGGAAGAGATTCGCGTGGGAATACTGGTTCGGCTGTTGCTCTGGGTTCATTCCGCGCGTCGGCGTCAGTAGGCGCCGATAAGACTCTTTCTCTCTCTCTTTCTCTCTCTCTCTTTCTCCCTCGTGACATTGAACAAACATTTTGACAAACATAAAAACGAAATTGTCGCGAGAAGCAAGAGCGTATCTCGGCAGCGATAAGCATCGTCGGAAATTGACGGCGCGTGGATGATTTATGACGGGCTCCGGGAAATTCTAGTTTTCCACGTGAAACTTTTCGTCTCGCCAGTCGCGGTATTCATGCGCCAACCAGATACTGGACCAGTTTTATGAAGCGTGGGTTAAAGGTCAGTATGCCGAAGTGATTGGTGACTACACGGTCCAAGTGATTGCAATGTCTCTATCGATTTAATGTTATCTTAATGAATACTGGCGTTGCTATGAACAGCTGAGTTCATTATGTACAAAATAACTTGGGAACTCTTCGCAGCAGTAACAAAAATATGAATAAAAAAATCAGCGAACAAAATTATTTCTGAGATAAAAGAGACAGAGGTCGAAATGCTCCATAAATATACAGAAATATCTATGACATATTGTTTAGCGTCGCATATACAATTCAGCGGAGTCAAAGTCATCTGGAATATTTTAAAATAGCACGAATAATTGACGAAGACAGGCGAAAAAAAGGTCGAATGCATAAAATGCGTAATAAAATCAGTGATGTCCCGTGAAGAACGACCAAAGGCTCCGTCGCGTGATGCGGTTTACTGGGTTCTGGTCGAAGGGCGATAAATCCTGGATGAATTATCGCATCGAACGCTCGCATGTCTATGGCTCTCTTAAGCGCTTCTGAAATCTTAGCGGCGATCTCGGAATGGTTCCCATTCCTAGCAACGCTACGTAGCCCTTAACGCGAGGTCGTGTGTTATCGTGGTCGTTTGTTACATTCCTGCGTCCATCTGTTGCTCGCGTAGATTTTCGCCGACGATGACGACGACGGTTTCCTTTGCCGTACCTGCAAGCCTAACGAACCGCGTGCTTTCCATGCAACATTGTTGCGGTCACATTTTATGTTTATGCGTCACCGAGAGCGAGTTGCAGAAACGTTTCCTCGTCGACAGTCTCGACAACTTGTATCAACCCTGTAAACTTTATTAAACCCATAATTTGTCAGATTTATCAGATCCAACAAGATTGTATGATATTTTTCAATAGAATCCGGTATTTTTTATTGCTTACGGTTCTAGAATTTTTAATTATGTACATAAATCAGCTGCGAATATTTCAATAATTATATTTTCATACGCAGGACGTATCTCTATTATCTAATAAATAATAATAATGTTTTTTTAATTACAAGCAAAAATGTGCACGCTGTTGATGTATGTAGTTTCTCGCCGAAAGCTATTCTGCATAATAAATTCTAACAGGCTAAAAATATAGATTTCCACAGAAATACATCGTCTTACATGTCTGGTACAGTGTAATAAACACCAGCTTTTTACTGCTCGATTTCGTAAACGTTAGATCGCCGTTTTCTTTTTAGTCACGTACCATGCATCGCGGTGTCATCCAGAAGTGCTTTTCGTAGTGCTTTTCCAACTTTGTGCGGCCTATCGTAAACCAAGCGTCTAACGAGATCAAAGTGTGATGATTCCCTTCCCGAATTAGCTAACGGTTGTAAAAATCGAATTAAAATCGCAGTTGGTTTCTGTTATGCAGGGAACAACGCTGTTTCATTATCGTTAACATTGCTTGCATTCATCAGATGCATGGAGCAAACTATAAATTGCTACCGTTATATTTAGCGTTTTTACTTATCGTTGTCGTTTATTAATAATACAAAAATTATTTGTTTAAACACTTTAAAAGTAAACGCAACAAACGAAATTATTTATGTTCGGTGTTGAAAGATTTTATACATAGTTTTTTTGATTAAATTGAAGAATCAAAGTTCAACGATAGAAAGCAAAGCTTTGTCTTGATTTATGATCAATAATGAAATTTTTGCTCATTACGCGAACAATAAAGCGATAAATTAGTAATTACAAGTGACTCGAGATTTCACAGTGGATCGAGACATCGATTCGATCGGGCTAATGAAAGGGCAGACAAGGCTATCGATTGTAATCGTCGGCAGTATAACGATCATTTGTTTTACGAGCGATCCGCATGCAAAACACGTGGAATCTCAACTGGCGCTTTCGCGATGCGGAACAAAGAAACTGAAGAGCTGAAGTGCCACTCGTGTGCCCGGCCGACAATTTGTTTTTAAGGTTTTCCGACGACTACCTTGGCTATCGGTCGCTGTTCTACAAGTGGAACTGAATTGATCAGGCGCAGTCCTGGACACTCGTGACATCCCATTTTTTTCACGTCATTCCAATGCGCCACTTGCTCCGATTGATAAAGAATCCGCGCGTAAATTTTGTAGCTAAAGTGAAATTATTAAAAGAGATGTATGTCTATATTATATTATAACAATTTCAAAGTTTCTATTTACATAAA